ATCGTGATGTAGGTATGTGGGGGCGTGTTAGAACGAGCCGTTTTAGGTAGGCGTGGCTGACTCTTAACTTTTATAAAGAATATCTCTTTGGATTTGAGACTGTAGTCTTTGCAACTTTACAGATCTTCTTTATGCACCAAGAGCTTGTAACACTCCAAAGAGAAAGGAAAAATTTAAATCGCATCATATGACCCCTTTAAAATAGAGAAAAAGTCATTTTAAATTCTAATAATATTTCACAGTATTTTTGATCTACTAAATGCAGCCCTGAGTATTTTGAAAAACAAAAAAATCGTACCTACCATGAACTTTTGAATGGTAGGCTAGTATGTCGCTATTCTCAGAGCCGTTGAGAAACTCACTCGTTTCTCAACAGCTCTGGCTATTCTGTATGTTCAGCCAGCCCTTTTGCTCACTCTGGATGAGTACAGTTCTTGGAGAGAAGGGAGGGTTGTACCAATGATTCGCTCAGCAGTCCGGACTACACTCTGTAGTCTTCTGAGGTCAGATTTGGTAGCTGAGCTGAACCAGGCAGTTATAGAAGTGCAGAGGACAGATTCAATGATGGCGGAGTAGAACTGTTTCAGCAGCTATATTCAGCAGTATACGTTCAAACAGCACCACGTCTGACCACGCATTTGGAATGTGAAAAAATAGAACTAATAATAAACATGACAAGAACTACATATACTACAGTTAGCGAAATCAGGACTGGCATTTACATGGTCTTCCTGTAATAAATGGCCCCGAATAGTTGCTCTGTGGGGGCATTTTATCACCCAGTGGAACAAAATTAAGCGATTAAGTTACGTTTCAGTGGATCGTTAAAGGTCATTCTTCCTAAACGAATCTCATCTGCCTTCACGCAAATGGTAATTACTGAGTGTTTATCTCTCTCCGTCTACCTGTCATTACCCCAGCCATTCTGCTCTAAAGGTTAAAAAGAGATAGATAGAGAGAGAGAGAGAGATCTCGCATTGGACATTGCGCATTGACCTTTTGTCAAGGTTCTTTGATTAGTGGTCCAGTTGTTTGTTAGGTTTGCAGTAATGGCGTTTATACTTTCAAATGTTTGCACTTGTGGAGACCGGTGACTCAGGAGGACTGAGAATAAATCAGTTTAAACTCTATTATGCTTATGTAAATTGGAAAGGAATCAGGATTTTATTTGTGTTTTGTTAGCTTTTTTTTTCACCCCCAAATCCATAATACAGCATTACAGTCGTTGTAGTTCAAGTATATTTTATTCCTGGCAAGCCCTCTGCGAAGCTGCACTGATTCTGACATTTAATACATTGGCTTTTCATGAGTCCCTTCCCTTCATATTTCTGCATTGTGGTATTAATGAATACATAGTTATTGCATGAACATGCTACTATTTGAAGGGAAAGAGGATGTGAATGAAAGCAGGATTATGGATCGAGGACTCTTGTTTTATCCGAAAGCAACATTTTAAAGTTAAAAACACCTTAATGATAGATTGGTTTATTACAAACATGCAGCTTTTCACTTTACAAGACATTAATTGATGGACTGGAGTGTTGTGGATTACTGTGATGTTTTTATCAGCTGTTTGGACTCTCGTTCTGACGGCACCCATTCACTGCAGAGGATCCATTGGTGAGCAAGTGATGTAATGATAAATTTCTCCAAATCTGTTCTGATGAAGAAACCAACTCAACTGCATCTTGGATGGCCTGAGAGTGAGTAAACATTCACTTTTTGGGTGATTCCTTTAATATCAAGAGAGATCTGCTGCAGCCTAGAAAACAGAAACATGTATAAATATGCCTTGCATTAATATACACGTCTAGATAAACATAAGGGACACAAACACATCCACTTATCGTCAATGAAAACTAAATCTATGCCCTCTGATTCTATCCCCCCCCCCCCAAGCGGTGTCTCTCTGGGAGAGAGAATATGCTGAATCAAAGTTTTCATCTTGCCAAGATGGAGTCCATCCAATGCAGGTTGTTTATCAGCTGCACCCAAAGAGCTGCGCAGGGCAACTGTGCGTTTGAGCTCATTGCTCGCGTCTCAGTAATTTAATTGTAAAAACAAAGTGTTTCCTATACAATACTGACCACACACATGCAGTTGATATTTGTATTAACTACATCACATACTATAAATAGTAGCAGCAGTAAATCCTTTTTGATATACAATTATTTGTGAATTAAAGTATGCTGAAGTGTTGCTAGTATGTGCTGCATGTGCATTTGTGTGTGTGTTACCTTGAATTATATATTTTTAATACAATTCAACTATACACCCTGTGCTTGTCTACTACAGTATGCAGTGAGACGAGCCCAATCCTCATGGCTGTGAATGTAATTGTGTGGTTTAACCAGCAGGGGGCAATATTAAACTATTCAATACGGCTGCACTGAACACTCATTTAATTAACGTGTTTAGGAGATAATGCAGTAACTGCACCAATTTTAATTAAAACCCATAAAGAATGAGTCTGCAGAGAGAATGTGCGGAAAAGACACTTAAAGGGGGAAAAAATATGTTATGCTCCTTTACTTTATTTGTATACTTCAAGGTGCTTGAATAAACATTACTACTACTAATAAGACTTTCGTGCGATTTTAGTCAAATATCAGAAGCATGTCACTACATATATGCTCTCTATCATCTCGTCTAACCCGTAAAACATGCTTTGACCCTAGTCGTGGCCGCAGCCGTTTGATCACAGCTTGCCTCCATCCGCATGCTGCGTGCGTGTCCAGCCTGGATCCGGTTTGCACGCGGCTCTCCGCCCGTCTCAGTTGACGAATCGAACATGTTTTTTCCGTCTCCGAAGAACGGATCGAGGACATGAGAAATAAGGGTCGCAACACTGCCAAAAGAAAAAAAAAAAGGAATCTCCCTCAAGATCTGTCCGTTTCCCAGAGCCGCACTCCTAAGCCGGTAAAAGTGCTGAGCAGATGAAGATGAAGTCTGCTCAGTGGCAAACGCCTAAACAACACCACTGGATTTACCTCTGCTATTATCATAGTATTATATTTGCATAATAAGTATCTATATTATAGCCCATTTTAACCCACACTTGCTAAATTAATAATAGATAATATATCGTGATATCAATTTTGGCCATATCGTCCAGCCCTAAGATAATCTATTTGCTGAAGCTCAAAGGAGATTATATATATATATATATATATTGAACTATTTAAAGGTTTACTTTCTGACCAATACAATTCCATAACCTTTCCAAAGGTCTGTGATTACTGTATAATTTAAAAAATATATAATTATGATTCATACCAAGTCGTAATGAATCGTTACGACCGATTTGTGAATCGCTTTGACTAAACAATAAGCGACACAAAGGAACAATTATTTCACAGTTGTAGTCGTATTACAAGATATGCAAGACAAAACGGTGCAAGATTTCTCAGCAGAGAATAACAGCCAAAACTGCGTACATTCTCATGTTTCCATTATTTTTAATACTTAATTTCCAGGATTTATCAATGCACAGTTTTAGTTTCCTTGTATTTAGAGGTTTTCTGCATCCGTGGGAACCCTTGTCAGTTCCATTAGAGCTGTACTCACAATGTTAAGCTCCGTACGCGCGCTTCAGCAGCTCAAAGTAAACTGTTTTTCTGCGTTATGTCCCTCGACTCAAGTCACGCGTAAACCCAATCAGCAGTCCTCGCGCTCCCCTAACCGTCTTTATATTTCATAGCCCCACCCCCGCCCACAGCGCATATATTAAGCCTTTTGCACGTCTAAAACAATAATTTGCCTTTTAAAAGTGCACACGGCTTTTTAACCTACCTACCTTACAGTTCCTTGCATGAACTACGCGACTTTCTCACCAGTGAAACAACACCGGAAGCGGGCGGTTAGAAGTGCGAACGAGTAGATGATGGGAAGTCCGACTCATTTCCGCAAGTCGGCTCTTTTGAACAGTTCCTTTAAAAGAACAGATTCAAAGCACAGTGATTCCTTACGTCATGACGTAATTGCGCCATTACGTAGTCTCAGCTTGATGTTAAATCGTACCAGTACAGCCAATTGTAGGTTATAAATTACTTACCTTGATTAAGTTTTATTAATGAAAGGGTTCAATGGAGTCTTTTTAAATAGACATGTTTTATGTGTCCCAGTTCAGTTTTTTGTTGGCTTTATTCGACTCATAAAAACAAAGTAATTTAGAACCTAAATATAATTTGCAGTTACATTAATGCTAATGTTTCTTGAAAGTTTTCACGTTTTGATAAAACCATATTTTTGTATGTGTGTTGATAAAAATGTCACGCATAGCCTATATATTTGTAACATTTCTACTGTTCTCTTTTAAAATTAATTTACTTTTCGCTCCTCTTGCTACCATCAGTTCTCGGTTCATTACGAATCGGACAGGTCCAAAAGCGTCTCAATTCAGTGATTTGTTGACTCGAGAACTGCTCGGACCCGTTAAAGTCCGATAAGTGAAAGAATCGTTATAGGGATTTAGTGAAACGGTTCGGACGATTCATTAGTGCGATTCGACTCAAACGAACGATTCGTTCACGAATCGGACATCGCCAAGAGCGAGCGAGCGAGCGAGAGAGCAAGAGGAGGGGTGAAAGCACATGAAAAACTGCGTAACCCACTGCTGGTTGAGATAGACGGGGCAGAAAGGTTGCCTTTCTGTGTCGTAGGCGCTATCTGGAGCTTTGCTGCACTTTTATGCGAAACGACAGCGGACTGAGAAGACCTGCCGAGGTATGTTTCTTGCGCCTGTGCGCTTTCAGTGTGTCTTAATAAATGTTGTTTGTCGATGGCAAATGTTGTTGTTTTAACAGCATAGTTGTTTATAAACAAATGTCCACGGTTGATCTTGTTGAGGCTCCACTGGGCTGGACTTTTCACGCTTAATTGAAGCTGTTTACGTTGCTCTTAGCGCTTCCAAAATATATGACATGTCTAATAGACTCTTATTTAAAAGGTTCCTGTTCAGTTCAGACAGTGCGCGTTTGCCACCGGTGTTTCGCAAGCCCCAAGCTCTTGCACCCTGTTTTTTTTTATCGGATCAACAGGCAGAGAGTCCAGCCCCCCTCCAGCACGCCTGTCAAGTCTCACGGACAGTCCAGCTCACATTTCCAACTCCATTCCAGTCCAGCGAACGCAGCTCCATACTTCTGCGCCTTTGACCGGTTCGCGTTTGAAGTTAATTCTGACACATTAAGCGCTCAGCGGAAAACAAGCGCACTCTCCGGGCGAATGTTTTCGCTAGGCTGTTGAATTTACCGTTATGAGGGTATAACTTGAGTGATAGTGCGGAGCTGTCAGCAAGCAGCACTTCTCTTGGTCTCGTGGTTCCAGAGCCAAATGGGTTTCAGTGGGTGAAAGTTTATTACGTTAAGAGTTAAAGATCGAGACAGTTCACTCGCCATGATACAGTACGGTTTTGACTGGAGATTTAAATAAAGCAGGAGTGTGTTATTAAAGCCATACCTCTTGCGAAATTGTGAACTGTCTTTCCGTTTTGAGGTGCCACATTCATTTTGGCCACGCGACTGCCACTGCAAAGAAACAAGCAGATCACGAGAAAGGCGTGCGCGCACGCTCATTTAGACGAGCTTTAACCGTTATGTTAAGAGCAATGGGTATTTTATAATTTGCGAATCTGAGTTTATTAGTCCCTGACACACAGGACAGTTGCAGTTGCCTAGTAAGAAAGTCGAAGGCATGTTCTCTATTTTCCCCTTTGATATTGTCTTCCACAGCAGATTCTTTTATCTCCCATCATGCAATTTAGTTTCCGTTCAACAGTGTCAAGTGTGTGCATGCGTGCGCTTTTGTGCAATCATATAGGCTGTGTAACCTATACATGTGCGTTGTACCTATGTGATTTTATTAATGGGAACACGTTGCTTTTTAATATGCCCTTAAAATCTACAGAACTCATATTTCCGCTAATTAGCCTATGTATTTTTTTTAGATGTGTTATATCCTATAGCCTAATAGATAGAAAAAATGGTGTGTTTTCTGTGGTAATTTTGTGATTAATGAGAACTATATCTTAACTGCAAGCTTATTATGAGCGCATGTTGAAAATGACCAGAGAACTAGCTACTGTAAATGTTAACGCCTCCTGACGTTCAAACCCTTGATTAAACTATTAGACATGATTGCAATTTTTTCCAGTAGTATTGTAATGTATCATATTGCCTTATGACTCGCATGTAACCAGAGGAAGAGTAGAAATTAAATTGATCAAGGATCGTCGCAGAAAATTCGCACGCATGCGCAGAGCAGAGGAGGGCGCTGTAGAGCGAACGTTCAATTATTTTGTTCAGTTGCGTATGGATATTATTTTGATCAAATTGAACTCTTCTTAATATGTTTAAAAAGTGTTCTTAATCGCGTGTTACACTTATTGGTGTGGCTTTTATTTGATATCTTGCAAACAGGTTATTTTGTTTCAATCAGAAGTTATATTATTGGTAAACTGCAGGCTACCTAGTTTAGTGAGTGATTAATGACAGTATAGTCATCAAATAGCTACAGTAACATTGTGCGATGCAGGAATCACTCAGATTTTCAAATAAATGTTTTCATAGCTAAATACACTTTAACATGGTCAAATGATTGAATGTAAGTATCATTAGTAATTACCAATAACATAACCACATATATCTGTTAGATATGAATCATTATATGAAGTTCGGGAAGGGATTTGATGCATGACTTCCGATTCCTGTGTATGCATTAATAAATGACAAGGAACAGCCTATCTGCTTAGTCACATTTTGTTGCGATAAAGCATTGCCTACTGGAAATACATAATACATTAGCAGTCGTGTTGCATTTGGTAAAAATTGTACTAGTGTTACAGTGCATCAAACTGTAATGTCATAAATTGATTAAGTTTGATTTTTAGCCTAGTTTGGAATATATTACATAAGTCTTTTATTTCACTTTGTGCCTTGTGTTTTGTTGTAGCTCAACTGGAGGAGGCTTATGAAGTTTGTGTTTGCATCTCAAGCGGGAGAAATGTGGTTCTCGATGAGCACTTAAGAGCCGCTTAAGTAGAGTGTTTATGTACTTGACCAGTGTCAGTCACTCATTGATCTAACGCCGTACTAGCTTTACTTTAAGATGTGTTTTCAGTTGGCAGTAATTTAGCATCGGAGGTGATTACTTAAGACCACACAAGCTTGGAAACAGCTGGCCTGTCATGACAACAAAGAGTAAACAAACAAATTTGGGGGCAAACATACAAATTTGTGGGTGTTTGCAACAAGAAATCTGTATATGGTTTAGGCCGACCCATTTGGTTTCTTTCAGTAGGGTACATAAAAGGTAAAAATGTATTATTTAAAAGTTTCATTTATTATTTAAATGTATTAACTTGAGTGTTTTTAATTCCTTATTTCCCTACTTGCATTTACATACTGGATAATTATGTTTAATGTGCTATAAAATAAGCTTTGGCCCTTAATGTTTGTTTAGCTATTTCTACACCTGCAGACAAAAGGGACAGATCGTTTTCTCGCTCTCTTAATTAAGGTGTCTTTACACAACCAAGTTAAGGCTCATCTATGCTTGCTCAAAATTGTGTGTAAAGACCCAATGCCTCATAAAAGCCGGACTAAATTTTGCCTGCTCTGACCCACCAAAGTATACTCTAAGAATCAAAGTAGTGTATAAAGATGCAATCGCTGAGTAAATGCATTTATGCCACCTCTGAGCAGCATTATTTGGGTAGTCTGGGTAAAGACACCTTAGAAATTCTTTTGTGCCACCTGTGCAGCGTAAATTTGGCATAAGTTTGTATGGGTCAAGCAACACTGCAAAGGAGGCACAGAAGATGATGCTCAGAGATAGCTTAAATGCATTTACACAGCAATTACATACTGTATACTTTGATATTAGGGGCTGAGGTGGGTCTGAGCAGCCATAATTTAGTCTGACTTTGATGAGGCATTGCGTTTTTGAATTTTGAGCAGGCACAGAGCAGCTGAGTAAAGACGCCTTTAGTTAGTGTCTCTTCCCACGACTGGAAGTCAAACACATGTTTGGCAAAATTGTTCGGCCAACCCTGCCTGTGAGAAATCAGGAATGTAGAGGATTTGGTGTGGGATTAGAAGGGAAACTCTGGTAAACCTCAGGTCTGTTGAAATATCACATTTCATAAATAAGTGAACTGGAGGTGCATTTGAACATTTAGCCCTGTTGGCACACCGTGTGTTTGTTTAGCTGGACTGTACAACCTAGGTTGACCTGTGCTGCCAAAGTTTGTGCGGTTGATGCCCTCTTGTTGCAGTCGACACACAGCATTTGAGAGGGTTGGCTGGGACGTGATTGCTGTGCAGGGAATACGTTCAACATGTTGACTGGCACACTGTGTTCAGAAGGAGAGGAAAAGATAGAAAGGCAGAGGGAGCTGAAAGAAGGCCTGTAAACCGAAGTAGAGGGCAGAGTTGTGTTTTTTTATTTGGTTACACATATATTTGTGAATTTTCTTGGAAAGCTCTTCTTTAACGAGCACCTGGAAATGCGAGAGCGAATCAAAGGTCTGTGCAGCACATTTGGCTAGTTTTTTTGGATTGTATGCCTATGCTTAATGGTTTGCATTTTTTAACCAACATCAGTGGTCATGTACTTATGTTGTGATGCATAAAGAAGGGCAAGCTTATTGTATCGATTATACTATAGTTCATAAAGTCAGGCATGTGCTTCATTGCAACTTTTCCAAGGAAAGACTTACATTTACTTCATTTGGTCTGCTTTAAACGTGTTCTGCTTTGAATAAGCATACAGGTGACACCATCCCTAAATGACTAAGAAGAAGTGACTTTAGATTACAAGGCCAGTCAGTCTTGATCTGTGCCTTGATTCTGTATTTCAGATTTTTATGGCATGAGAGTTGTTGCGTAGCCTGTGTGTTTATGCTTTGTCTTGTGGGATTTGTGACTCTTATGAGCTGTGGTTCAATTTAGTAAAACATGTACAGCTTAAATCAGTGTGATTAATGATTGTCTGTTCAAGTGACAACGTCTAGCTAAAAATACACATTGTGTTTTGTCAGTATTTAATATATAATACTAAAGTTTGGAAGTGATAGGATTTTTTTTATGTATTTGAAAAAAGTCCAACCCATTCAACCCTTCACTAGTGCTGTCTCTCATCGTTTTGCTGGTTAGCCGCTGGTCTGCCTGTGCGTCTTCATGTGTTTTGGAGGAGGCGTGGCTTTGGAGAATGATTCACCGGGAGGCTATTGCTAGCCTCTCCGAAATTGCCTACCCTACCTTTATTATACTATAGCAGAGGGGATTTGCTACCATTCAGACATGACCATTAGTAGACGATGGGATCTGGCTTGTAATCAGCATTCCAGTTCATCCCAAAGGTGTTTATTTGTAGTGCATTATGGATGCCAGTCAAGTTCTTCACTTCAAACTCTCTAAATAATTTCTTTATAGACCTCGCTTGTTGTGCAGAACAGAAAAAGGCCATCCACAAACTGTTGCCGCAAAGTTGCAAGTGAGTCATTGTATCCTGTAGCTTTAAGATTCAGTGGGCCTTGTCGGCGCCGATGGCCTCGTGGGCAGCGCACCGATATGTAGCGCCGTTGCGCTTCGGGTGTCCCAAGTTCGAGTCCCAGCTCGTGGACTTTTCCCGATCCCACCCCCCTCTCTCACCCACTTCCTGCCAAACCCATTATTTAGATGTTTGTGTCCACATCCTTTTGGCCATGAGGTGTGTATACAGTATGC